CATACCAACCAACAGGCAACTCAGAGCAGTCTCTGGAATCTCCCTCACGGGAGACGAGCAGCTCCAGCCCTGACAGTCAGGTAACATCAGGGTCACCCCTGAAAAGCTTCACAGAAACTGACAGCAGCTGCTCCAGCAGTCGAGGGCCTGACCGCCGGCAAAACCACTCCCGCCGGCAACATTGGGCCAGAAATCCACACGTTCGGCCCAGAATTCCCAGGACACGACCCATGTGCCAGCACCAAGTCCTGGGAGGCAAACCCCAACGGAGACAGAACCAGGACTTCCCAAAGGCAACACCATTCCCACCAGCAGCCTCGGATCCCAAATTCATCCAGCGGATCCAGAAGTTGCTGTGACAGGAGTCATGTTAGAGCACCCAGTGCTGGGAGCTCCACTCACCGGTGGGATGGTGAGACAGAGACCCACCACTGACACGTCCCATGTCAGACAGGGAGGAGGAGGAGGCCCCCGGACGGAGGGAGCCAGGTGAGAGCAAAGTGTCCCTCCCACAGCCTGGCAGAGGGGCTGTCGGGGCGGGCAGCACAGGGTCCATGCCCATGGCCATTGTCTCTCTCCCCTCCAGCATTGCCTGCTGTGTCAGCCAGCAGAGGCTGACCTGGACACCTGCGGGGAAAAACTCCAGAGAAATGGATTCTGTGCCCACGAGTTCTGCCTGGTGAGTTGCTCCGTGGCCTCCCTCCATTTTTTGACAGGCAGTCCCTGCCACTCTCTCCTCATCAGTGAGTGTCATTTTTCTACAGTTTTTTGCCAGCCACCTTCCTCAGCACAATGATGATCAAGTAGGACCCTTTGGCTTTCTCCCAAGGGATATCCAAGATGTATCTCCTGGGCAGCAGAGCAGGTGAGAGCCTGACAAGAGCAGGGAGATTTGGGCCAGGTGAGGTTTGCTGAAGCTGAGCTCAGACCCCAAGCAAGAAAGCCCAGCCCTTCCAACCAGCTCTGGGACAAGGAGGAGGCCGTGAGGCTGCTGCTGATGGGGCTGCTCTGCTCTTTCCAGAGCTGCTGCATCTGTGGCCAGAGCGGGGCCACCATCTCCTGATGTGATGGCACAGGGAGAAGAGCAGGGACACCCTGCACCTGCCCAGGGCAGAGGGAGCTCATCAGTTTCCCTTTTCCCATCAGACCATCATGGGAGGGCATTAATGCATTCACCGAGCAAGGAGAGAGACACGGGCACTGCGATGCCAGTGAGTGCCTTTGTCCAGGAGGCAGCAGGAGGCAGAGGAGGAGGGGTAAGCTGCCAAAGTTGCACCCTGGGGCTCTGCAGGGCTTGAAGCAGAAGGACCCAGGAGAAGAGCTCAG